TTCTTATGCATAGCCATTACTAGGTTTTTTTCTTTCTATTTATTCTCTCTGAGAGCTAGTCAGTGCTATCAGTAGTGAAGGCTGTAACATAGGAAACCGTCAGGCTACTCCAAAAAGAAATCATGTGGATCTTTCCAGGGATCAGGGATACCTGCCAATTTCTATTTGTCTTTGGTGTGTATTAGAAAGCAAACCACCAGTGAGTTACAGACGCCACTTTGCCATCTTCAAAGCCAATGTGAAGCGGCAATGTGCCATAATGTCCCCGAGCAACTTCCGCATCAGTTGCAGTCATGAGATTCTTAAGCAACGTCTCAAGCACAATGTTCAGATATATTCAGCTGCAACCAGGAGACTTCATCACATTTGTGAGATCATCCTGGGGAAGCACTTCAGATTACCCGAGTCAAATTCCTCAGTGCTGTTTGCCTACGTACCCAGAAGGCCTGAACCCTGCAAGACTGCACACATGTATGTGCACACTGCTGCTGGTTATCCTTGGGTATGAGAGCAGGAGAGGACATGCAGCCAACCTATGGGCTGACGAAGCAGAGCCATTATTAAAGTGCAGTCTGGGTTAAATCAGTGTACAAAGGGAAAAGTGAAAGCAACTATTATCAGAACTTTACCAATTTGATGAGCTGAACCTGTGTTAACTACATTAACCATTACCACCTGTATACTCACTTTTAGACCAAAGGAAAGCACATTAACTTCAACCTCTGAGGAGAGCTTAATCCAAGCTATAGAGTTTAAATCAACAGGTTTACTGGGCAACAGATAGCAAAAGCACCTGGTAGACCCTGGCCATCACCTGTCCATGCCTCACTTCTCTATCTCTTAATCCAAAGGCTTCCATTTTTTCTTTCCACTTGTCACTGAGACCATGGCAGGACCTTTGACACCATGCCTTTTACATGCTGTTGTGCTGAACAACAACACACAGTCCCACCACCAGCACCAAGCAGCAAGAAGGGGATTTACTTAGCATCATCTGCCAGGTGATGGAAATGCAGTCCCAGAATAGCTGGTGAAAATCATATTCCTCTATCCCTCACCCATCGTGTCACTTAGCTCCTACTGTCCTGCACTGATGTCCTAATGATACAGAGAAATGATTACTTGTTTTGAGACTTATTTACTTATAGCAAACTGCTTAGAAACTTATTTACTTATAGCGACTTATAGTATTATTTATAGTATTTTTTAATATTGCTAAGAATCCTGCTTGCCCAGACTGTTCTGTGGAATTTTAGCAAGGACTACTGTGTTCGTCAAAACAAAGCAGTTTAGTGTGAAAATCTAACAAGAACTGTAGTGTTCAGCAAAATACCATGGTTTTGTCCTTGGGGAACTGGTGTCTCTAACTAGTTGGAATCTTGGTAATGAGTAAAGATAGCCATATACAGATGGTAGAAGTTCCATTGGTTCTCTTAGGTAAGATAGAATGAATAAACCAGGGAATCTGCGCATGCTCCGGGGAAAAGTACAAGGTGAGGAAGACTACAAGCCTTCCTCCCAAAGACGCCCCCCAGGAGGCAATGGGCAGGTGCAAAGAGAACATAAACTGCTGACACCAGCCTCTAGAACTACCCCAGCCCTACTCATGCATATATATATTTGTGTTATGTAACCCAATGAATATGGACACTCTATAAGTTTTTGGTAAAGTGTGTGGTGGTTATGCAAGCTTTGTGGAGAAATCCCCCTTACACCCTGGCCAGAGTAAACATACCTGCTTTATAACTCTATTTGAGTTGTAGAGTCTATTTTCTGCAAGTCACTAACACCAACACAGATACATTGTTGTTCCCTAGATGGCAGTTCCCTGAGTGATTTGGCTTCTTTTTTATCATGTTCCTTTGGCAGAACCTGAGACACTGTGACCTCCAACACAATTGTCATCCCATGAACAGCAGCACAGTAGAATTTTGTTGGAGCTCTCAAGGGATTTTTCCACTTGGTTTATTTATCTTTCACAATATAGGGGCTTTATTACCTTTAGTTTTCTGGTCATTTGATTTTAAAACCTCTTGAACAGAGCAAATTCAGACCTGACAAGTAACTGTCTTGACAAATGCCTATCCTTGGATGCACATTTAATTTTATTGAATATTAAAACAAAACTATGTAGAGAGTAGACCTTACTGCTGAAATTCTAAGTGCAAAATGAAAAATTTCAAGCCAAACTGTGCCTTGGAATTGATGTAACCAGATGAAGTTCAGGAAAATTACTTTAATCCAGAAAAGGCTCTCAGGATGCAGGCTTTCAGTCCTACTGAAGTGAGATTAAATGAGCACATGGTTCAAGTCAAGTTTGCTTGTAAGTACATTCCTGAGCAGGAAAGGACTTAAGTAATTGTTTAAATGTTTTCCTGAAACACAACTCCAGAAGTTAAAGTGAGTATGACAGAAACTATTTCTTAGTGAGCCTGTTGGCACTCTGCTAATCAAAATGCATCACAGGTCCATAGGAATTTCCCAACTATGCTGATACTTCAGAAGCATGAGACCTATGATTTTTTTTATACAACATGCTTTGAAATGCCACGTATATTGGTTTCACTTGATTAAAGAAAGCAGTCAACTTTGCAGAAACAGTTTATTAAACACATGAGACTTGGTCGCTACACCTAATTACAGACAAAATATTGTGAATAAAGCATGCACTTATCACAGACATCAATGACTATCTTGATTATTTTTTAAATCATCTTTAATTCTGTAAGTTTAAGGCTGTACCAATATAAATTTTTAAAAAATGAAAATAAAAAGTCACACTACAATTGTAGCAAACATTGTACAGACAATGAAATCAATTTCTAATGCAGCAGAACCAGACTTCTTAAAGATTATCATAAGGGAATAAAAATGGAGCTGAAGTGCAATAAAGTTCAGAATATCTCCGGAATTTGCAAATCAGTAAAAGTGAATGTCATACTCCAATTAGCACACAACTGAACACATTCTTTTCAAAAGCCTCATTATCTGACAACTGTGCAAGGGATGACTCAGACATCATAAAAAAAAAAAAAGAAAAAAAAAAAGACATTGGTTTTTCTTTGTTATTATTGAGGGCACTTTTGTATTCAAACACTAAAAGAACATTTTTCAGGGAGATATCTGATTGAAATGTGGCAGACAGCAGTACAACATACATTTGTTTACTCCATACCAATTAAAGATGAGTGGAGTGTCTTGCAGTAGGAAAAAAAAAAACAAAACAAAACCCACAACAAAAAAAACAGTTCTTAACTGACACAAGTGACAGAACCTTTGCTGACCGTATTGGTCTTCACCTGTGAAGGACCTTACCCTGTATGGAGTTTGCGTCTTAAAAATACACTGCAGAAAGAGCAATATGGCATCCACATGGGTCAAAATTTACCCAGCTGATGAGTAAAAAGATTACCAGCCCTGGAAACTCGGGGATATGGGGCTCAAAGTAGGTTATGAAATCTTTCCTCATTTACAGCAATGAAGCTTTTTTGCTTATTTTTCTCAGGTCACTGTGCAACGCCAGAAAGAAGGTAATTTGAGGACAATGGGTCTGAACAGGTAGCTCTAAAAATGGACTGTAATTGACAACTTTGCTCACATTTCAGAAAAGATCCAGTAATCTCTTGCTTCCCCTCAGATACTTTAGATTTGCAGAGTTTAATGCATTAAAATGCATCAAAACATTACTTCTGCCTAATAAACCATTGTGTATATAATCTCCCAAATGCAGGGCAAGACATCTGTGTAAGAAGGTGCCCTGTGTACAGAAAACTGCATTTTGCGTGGAAGATATGTAGCACTGCTCATGCTAAAATCTCTGCCTGAAATAGCTGATTACAGCTGGGGCTTGTAAGGGATCTGAAAAAAGATAAATCCCCAAATTACACTGGGGTTTGAATGGATAATTCTCTCCTGGCTCCTTTCAGCAGCACAGCCCAAGATATATTTTTTTCCTGGAAAAAAAACCCAACCCACCAAACAAAAAGAAAGCTTGTCCTACAATATAATGCACTTGAGACAGAAGCAATTACACAAGCAATTATAGGACTGACAATATGTACACTGAAGGCATCACAGTGACTGGAAGGTGGTCTCTAAACCAGCTCACCACTAGTATCATCCAGATTGCGTCTTGAAACCACTGAACCATGGTGGAAAGGAAATACCACTAGAGACTCTGACATGCCACAGGCAGCAGGCTAAATCCTGAAGACAGATCTGCTCCTGTAGAACTGTAACCACATTCCCAGCATGCAAAGTGCTAAAGGATATTGATTGCTTTCCTGATTGAAATCCAAGCTGAAGATAATGCAAATATATCTAGCTTCACAATGGAAGAGAAGATGGGGGAAAAAAACAGCTGCTGTGCTGCAGGAATCTGAGGCTTTTTTTTTTTTTTTTTTTTTTTTTTCGAGTTGGGCCAACACCTGGAAGAAGCTAGGAAGACCAATTGGTAAGACAATTAGTGCAATTGGCCGGACTATGAAGACTCAGATCTAGTTTTAAATAGAAGAAATTCAGGAAATAAGACTGTGTATCACCGCCTTGCATATTTAATATTAGGGCCACATATGCAGGAGTTCTGCATAGTCAAACCTCTTCACTCAAACTACTGGGAGCACCTGTTCATGTATAAATGGCTACTAGACAAGCAAAACAACGGAAAAACACATTATAACTGGTCACAGCTGGCTTGTGATCTGTGAGGAGCCTGAAGCAGCTATCTTTAAAGGACAACAAAGGGCCCTAACATTTCTGAAGAGAGCCCTATTCTCTCCAGGAGATGGGAACTAATGTGCTGCAAAAGGCTTCTAAGCACCCTAATCACTTGTGAAAGGTTTAGGTCTTCAGCCGGGGTTTTCAGTTCATCAGTTTAGTGGGACTGGTTTTCAACCTATTACATGGGATGATTTTCAGTGTGTTCTGGGATGCATTCTTCATTAATGCTTTTTATAAGAAACACAAAAAGAAACAGCTACTTTGAACACATTGGCATAAACTTTTTTTTTTTTTTTTTAAGTATTTCACATCAAAAGGGTTGTCTTGCTGGGGAACATTTTTAAGTATTTCACATCAAAAGGGTTGTCTTGCTGGGGAACAGAGATGGCTTTAGACCAGCACCAATAAGAATGAGTTCAATGCACTCTTATTTTCCCAATCACACAGTTTTTCTGGCAAATCGGTATTCTGATTTGAAAAGTCTTTTCAAGAGATGTAACAGGCTTTCATCTCTCAGTTGAGATGGAAAAGTGGTGGTTAGTCTTTTCTTTTTTTCCATACAAAATACTGTTTTGAAGACCATCCTAGGCAGTTGACCATGCCTGGTGGCTGGGAAATGCGCTAGGCAGATTAACATCTCACATTTCCCTCCTGTCTGTTTCTGTTGCATGATTACACTATGGTATGATTCCAGACTGTCAAAATCTTATAAAAATCAAAATGAATGCGTTATGAGTCTATTTGCTGTATTGCCAGATTCTAAGCAGAGGGTGGAAAAGGAGCTGAAAATGCAGTGTCAGAATTTCGATAAACAGGACTTGTCTGCCATGAAAGCAGTTGGAAAGAACGAGACCAAAAATCTTGGGCTTGAATTTCATCCAAGTCTCATTTGGCAGCAATGCATGTCTTCATCGGAGGCGGAACAGGGACTGGAATCCACCACTTGACCACGCTGACACTTGTTTACAAGAGCAGGCCCACAACTGTTACGAGAGCTAACAGTTTCTTATGGTAATCAGGATTGCTTTCATTAAACGGTATTTTTGCGTGCTCTGCAATGACTTGAACAGGCTTGGCTAATCAGTGGATCCAAGAGGATCCAACAGGAACTTTTGAGTACCGTGCATTCCCTCATACCCCTCACATTCACAGCTGGCAGACTGCTGCTGCAGAAGGTGTAGCTGGGGAAGATGGCTTGTTTTCAGCTCTATTAAAGGTTTTTTTCCAAATGAAAATTAATTAAGAGAAGACACTTTAAAGAAAGATGGAGAGTTCAAGAGTTTTTTTCTATTTTACTTTTTTTTAAGCTTCAAGCTGGTAAGTGATCATCTGTGCAGAACAAGATATTAGAAGTTTGGCACCTCCTGTCTACCACAACATATTGATTCCTTCTACAGAAGGCACTAAATACTGGCTTAAAACAGGAAAAAACAGCAGAATGCAGAGTTTTACCATGACACACACAAAAACCTGCTAACTGGCACAGCTTCATAGTGCAGTTTTCAGTTACCTACAAGGGTGGTGATTATAGCAGCAATGGTTAGCATTTTTACAAGTACCACATAAATGTACAAATGTCAAAACATCTAGAAAACATGCAAAATTTCAACAGCAACATCACTGAATCACACAATGCATAGAAATATTAATTATTATTTGGCAAGACAGTGAATCTTTTTCTTATAAAACAAAACAAAAGCATTAACAAAATCTACTTTTTTACAAACAGTTCTTAAAAAAGTTGAGTTGTCACTGAAGTCAGTGAGTGTAAGTTAGCCTTAGAGACAGGTTTAACTCTGAGAATGAATTGGTCACTTAGGAGAATTCACATTGTTTGGTGGAAATTTGGTTACGTTTAAGCAAAATATGTTTTTCAGTGGCTGTTTTGGAAGAAACAGTGCTAATCTTGTCAATATATAAAATGGGAGAAAACACCTTCACATTAAAAGATTAAAAAGATTAAACATTGCATGCAGGGAAAGATAAAAGCCTTACTTTAGCTGTTTCTCCCGAGTACTGCTCACAGTGAGACCAAGGGTTGTCATAGCAAAAATGCTTTTCAAAGGCAGTTAAAGCCAGTGGATAATTATAATTAAAACAAACAGAAAAGATTTCCTAATTCAAATGTAAAACAAAGTAGTATATTAAAGGATAAGGATTATGCTGCCTTCGTTAGACAAAAAGACAAAAACTTCCATTGTGTTTGCCAGGTTTTCCCACTGCCTTTCCACCATCTTCATCACACTTAGATATTCTGCCACTTCTCTTTCTTCCAGTCCTGAATATTTGGTCTACCCTGATAGGTCTCAAGATGATTCTGAGGCAGATGGGTCACATGGACAAAACCAGACACTGACAACACAACCATGGCCAAGCAATATCTTTTCCTGCATACTTCAGACCCATTTGTTCCAGTGGGGCCAGACATGTGCGTACAGCTAACAGCCTGAGCTGGGCAGCAGCAGGCAGCACAGACATACATTTCTCACAGTGTTCTGCAGAATGGGCACCAAATCTGCTGTGGCAGCAGCACCACCCGGCTGGCACACACTGCCATAAAGGGGAGCAAAACCAGGTGCTCAGCTTTTCCTTCCCTGCCAGCATTCAGACTCCATTAAGACATTTCATGCCATATTTTGTCTGCACATCCCTGAATGCTCTGGGTATTTCGTTTCATATCCATGCGCCCAGCCTTGTGCAGAGGAACCCAGTCTTGCAAGCTGCCCACAGAGAAAGCTCCCACAGAAGGCAAAGCTTGCAGGATCTGAAGCATAAGCACCAGGCAAAAAAGAAAGGCCTCCACAAAGCGTTTTACACTGCAGTCATTGTTCAGTGCACCTTCAGCCCCACTGTCACTAGGAGAAGATTTGTCTTCCTACGCAAAAGTCACCAAATCATTTTGAAGCCAGTTACTATTGCCTTGCCTTCTGCATCTACACTTCACACACACTGCTGCAGATACAGAGGCTGAAGTATGGACTCTGGCACTGGCTTGTTTTCAGGCTGGAAATTTGACATATACTAAGTGTATTAACTGTCTGATAGAAGAGAAGGAGGAATTCTGGCAGGAGCAATGTGGGGTAGACCAGGGTGATTTAGGACAGCTGAGAACATGCTATAATGATAAGGAGAACAGTCTTGGCAAGATTACAGCCTTCAGAAAGCAGATCAAATTCTAGACATGAGTAAAGTTAGAGTCATCTTTGTTCACAAAAATAACAGCTGAAGTGTCAAAGATATCTGCAAAATTAATTTAAAGAGTTTAGTTTTCTAGTGTAGGAATAATACAATATTTTTGTACAAAATATTTTGCATTTTCTTCTCATCCCCTCACTTGGCTGTTTTTTCTTGACACTTATGGACTGTATAAAACAGTAGTAACCAAAAAATGCAAACACAGATTCTGGAAGCATTGTGAAAGAGCTAAACACCTCTTCTCATTCCCACTGAACCTCTATCCCACTGAAATTTCAATGATAGCACCTACCTCACCAGTCTCTTAAACACTGTAAACAAAGCATCTATTAATTACAAAAGATGACACTGAAATCTGAAAAGGTACTGATTTTTTCAGATCCTAGTGAATGCTGTGTAATCAATGTTGAGCACAACAATAAAAGATTAGGCAAAAGCATCCTAATCCCTTTGAAACAGTAAATCCATTTCTAATGCACAGACAACTAATTTAATGGCATTTTTATAATAAAACAAATAGTTGGTAATGCAGACAAAATTCTAACAACCAATTCAGTGAAAAAACAGAGGAAATAAATTGCTTGCTTGAGACAGAGACTCTAGAGACTATGTCAAAACCCATCAGTTCATGTAACAAGCACATTTCATGCCAAACCCATTGTTTCCCCTTTCTGATTTGGAATTAAAGCCATCACCATTGCTTTAAACATGTTTGAGTGAATGGCTAGTGTCAAACTTTTCAACAAGCTCACAGGTGTCTCTAAACTGTGGGGCTTTTTAGCTTTCCAGTATTTCACCACTGTAAATGCCCCTCTACTTCCTGTTTGGAAATGTCGAGGTGCTGGAGGACAACATCAGAAGAGCTTTGCAGGGCCTCAGCCTGAGACAGTGCAGGGGGGTGGAACAGGCTGACCCCTGGTTTACATGAGTGGAGCTGGAAGCCGTGCAACCACACAACTTGCCAAGGGCTCAGAGAAACCCGACATGTCCTCAGAAGGGTCACTCCATCGTCGCCTGAAGTTATGCTTCTGTGAAAGCGGTGAAGCAGTGATGTCCCTGGTGAGGTCCCTTAGGTTTCCAAAACCCTTGAGGAGGTATCAGCCCAGCCTCATGTGTCTCTCATATGCTGTCCATGGGGAAAGCATCATCATTTAGTTGTGCTTAGGGCCTTCCCCCTTCTTGGTTTGCAGACACCTGGCTGATAGGGGTGTTCTTGACAAGCTACCCCCAGGCTCTCAGTTTTTGGAGTGGTGCATCGACACCCATGCTGGCTCTGCACAGAGCCAACAGATGTCCTGGGAGACACCAGCTGATGCAGTACTGTCCCCAACCACCAAGGAAGGCATGGCTCAGCACATGGGAACCATCACCAGAGAGCATAGTTCAAGCTTTTTGACTAGGAATATAGCCATATTTAAGCTGGACTGCCTTCTCTCCACACTCCTTCTCAGCACTGAGAGGCAGATTCAGCGCAGACACATGAAAGCACAGAAAGAAAATAATATACATCCTTTCTCTTAAGCACAAGGACAGCAAAGCAGCCATCTCCTCACACCGACGTTTAGCAAAGAACCCTCATTAAGAAGTGCAGATCCACTACCAGTCACATTTCATAGTGAACAGCTGAGTCCTTCTTTACCCTAACCCAGAAGCATGAATTGGCTCATTTCAGGCAAATCAAATTGCATTTCTGTGTCCTGTAAGCTCTCCTTCTTCCCACACATTCACACTGCCTCTGGGAGTTCAGGGAGTCAGAGGGGTCCCCATGCTCTGTTGCCTCACCATGTGATGATCTGATTTCCATGATGCAGTGAGCCCAAAAGTTACGTACTGTTGAGGACCAGTCATCTCAATCCTATTTTAAGGGAGTTGGTGGAAGGCCAAGCAGCACACAGACGTGGGCCTGGTCCTCTACACAGGAGTGAATTTCATCTCATTTAATGAATTGAAAGCGCTCTCACAAAAAGCAGAAGAGAAGAGAGAGGGAGAGTGCTTCCAGCACAAGAGATGCGAGCCTCCAGAGTGCTCATGTGCAGTATCCCACAAACCTCGCGTACCTGACGCGAGGCGGTCCGCCCTGAGCGCATTATCCCCAAAGCAGAAGGTCACTTGAAAGGCAGGAGGGAGCTCTCAGCCAAGAGCCACCCTGCACAAAGTGGTCCCCTTGCCCCATGGTGCAGATGCAAGGATGTCGGGGATGGGGAGGACCAGTCAGTCAATCACAGTCATTTGCAGCTTATTGTCAGAAGGAATGAACAGCCCATGCACCACATGTGCTAGTCGGGTCAGTCAATGCACTTATGGGATGTACTCAGACACGGTGACAAGAAAGGGTAAATAGAAGCTGGACAGGGAGGAAACCTAGTGCAATAGGAATCTCAGTTTCCTTTAAGGCTGTTTCAGTCCTTAGGGCAGCCCAGGTTCTAGAGTGGCACACCACCTGCTCTTCCTGATCCCCTTCTTCCCACCGCACATTGCTTGCGCAAGAACAAGATCTGGTCACAAACATCTGAGACGAGCATGCACAGCAGTATAACAATGTTGCTTTCTAAGAGGGCAACTACGCTGTAGACTGAATACCAGTGCACAGCAGCTTCTAAACAGAAAAACACAAAACAGCTTGAAAGTGTTGATATTCTTCACAAAGGAGAATGTGCAACAGGGACACTGATTCCATTATTAGATTGTCCTATATGTCAATAGCCTGGATGCTGCTATCATAGAATTATTGCACTATGCAAATGAAAAAGTTATGTGCTGTTATTTTAGATATCCCTTGTAATTTAGTCTACAATGTAGTCCACAACAGTATTTCATTCTCCTGTACTAAAAAATACATTTTGTTGCATAAATACATATTTGAAAATTAAACAGGCAGTTTGCAGCGCCCAAATTTCAAAGACTTCAGTTCCAACTACCTGCATGAATACATGTACATTGTGCAAACCCACAATATCATAAATACATGCATGAGTGACTAATAAAACAGAGCTTAAGCCATCCAAGTGCCCACAGCTCTGTCCAGCTAAATGTGCAATCACGTGAACAGATCCAAGTGCATGTATTGTGCACAGCTGCATCCAGATCAGTCCAGTGACATCCATGTATAATCCCCATGTCTGACTCTTGGTTTGGTGTCATGAGAAGGCCACGTGGGAAAGGCTGCGCTAACATTGGTGCAGACTCCTTCACACTGTGTGCAGGTCTGTGCTTTGGCACTCTGCCTCTTTCTTAAAGCCAAGGCCAAACTTTGCTCTTGGTAGCTCCCAAACCTCCCAAAAGCTGGTAAATGGTTCTGAAGGCAATCAGTACATCTGCAAATGATTCAGATGGATCTCAATCTGATTAGCTTTTTGCCGGGTTTCCAAGGCTGCAGTAGCTGAGCCAGGCTAGTGACTCTGTGATACTGGCAGGGGAACACACACCTCCATCTCCCCCACGTGCTCTGCACCTCAATTTGTGAGCAGATTCAACTCTGAAATCTGGCACAAAATAATCTGACTTCCCCTTTTTCTGTTGCATTTTTTGCTGGGCTAGTGAGTTGAAATGACTCACTGAAGGGGTTTTAACACCAGACCAAAGAAAGGTGAGTGGCAGGAAAAAAGGGAGAAAGAAAGGAGAGAGTCCCATTTTGGAGCCAGCTACCTCCATCTTATGGAAACCACAGCCTTACTGTGTGGGGCAAAAGCTCAGCTTTTACACTGAAGCACAGGATGACAGCCAGTCACCTGCACTGTAAGCCAGCCCACCCAATCACCAGCTTACAGACTGTGCTCGATGGGAGCAGTACGGTGTTTTGCCAGCTACCCTTTTATTTCATGGTAAAAGGTACTCAGTATCAAGAGCCATGGTAGGAGACCCCAATCCTTTGCTTAGGCAGTGAGGAAGGCTTGTAGCAGTTGGCAGCACTAGCCCCTGGCCACACTGCCATGTCTTAGCATCAGGAAAGCTGCACACTGATGTTGTGAGCTTGCAACTTGCTGGTGGAGCAGGTTTGACGCCTTCAGAGTACTGTGAGACAGTTACAAGCAACTGGGTTGCCAACTGTCAGCTGAGCTGCAGCAACTGGGACATCTACTCTCCCACCAGCATGAGACAAAAACACGAGAGTGGTTTAAATCAGAAGTCTCCCTCCTAGTCAGTTAACAATCCTCCCAAGGCCTTAATACAAAGAATTCATTAAGCTGTGGTCACCTGATTCCTTGCAATTTTCCACCTATGAAGACTGGATAATATGTTGTGCAAAATGCCCTTCAAAGCTAATGATTTTTTTTTTTTTTTTTAAATATGATACTACTTGGGTATCATATACTGGCCCTATGTGTTTAACTGCCCCCTGTTTGGGGCAGCCCCATCAGAATTTGCCAGGCAATCTGCACCAGCTGGAAGCTGGAGTTACTAGAGATGTTGCAAAGCAGAACAAAACTGGCCCTATAATATTGAGGCTATCGTACTCCACAGCTTATCCCCCAACCAAACAGGCAGAAGTTGCTGATGTGACCTGCTGAGCCAAGGGTATCAGAAATGTTGCCTCACCCAGCACATGGGCTGGACGCTAGCACAAACCATCCTAATACTGTGGTAAATGACTCAGACAGTATGCAGAGTCAAAAAGTCATGGGAAATGCTTTTTATGACCTCCCAGCTGAAAACCCAAGAGTGCCCATCTTTCTTCTGGGTCACTGAGCATTTTTGGCATCTCACAACAGAGCCAAGGTCTGTGCTAGGGCTGAATTACAGCACTGATGTGAAGCAGCACTTCAAAGACCTGCTTGCAGCACAGCATATCGGCAGCTCCTCATAGACAAGAACAACTGTGGAATTACCATACTAAATAACTCACACAAAATAGCCCACTCTGAAGCAACACGCTTAAGGCATACCTGCAGATGTGAACCATTACCAAGTTCTGAGCCTGATAATAGTGTGAGAAGCAATTTGGCTATAAGGTCTGGTTTCCAGCCTTGTAGGGCTTGAGGGTAGACACAAGACAGCTGCACCTTGGGGTGGCTTCTTTCCCCTACAAGCTCAAGGCAGCTCTTCCCAGCAAAGAAGGGTGATTGGGCAGGGGAGGAGAGGTGGGAAGCAGAGATCTGCTGCCCCAAAAAGACCAAGCTTTGTGTTGCAGCACAGGAAAGGTAAAGTGGGGAACTACGTCAGATCCTGCAATAGCTGCCACTGGGAAGTGCTGAGATGAGTGCCAATAGGAGAGAAACAGAAACCAGAGACTTTACTTAGAGGCTGGCTCCATGGTTGAGCTCCCACCTGGCACCCATAGGGAGCTCCTTGGCATGGTACCCCCCGCACTCCAGCACATACTAGGAACAGCTGTGTGAATCTTTAGTGAGAAACAGCAAAGAAATCCCACAGAGAGCAGCACTGACCTTGAAAATCTAAGTCTATCACATTAAAAGAACTGCCATGAAAAGGCAAGGCTGTGCAAACAACAATCAGATGGCTAGCCTCATTTGGAAGCTGGGCAGCCCGAGCCTTTTTGTGCTTCTTTCTCCTTTACCTACAAGTCCGATTTGCCATTGTACTGAAAGTCATGGGCACAGCTTGCACTCACTTCAGTAGTGTCATGATTTGGTCTCAATCCCCAGAATCAAGTCACAAAAGCATAGCTCTGCAGAATGAATGACCGCCTGGGCCCATCAATCCACTGCCTACCCTACAGCCTTGAGAGACAGCGGCCTGTAACTCAGAGGCTGAAGATTTGGTGGCTAGACTGTCATGGCATGCAAGACCCTGGGACCATCGGCACTCAGGAAACCCATACTTTGTACCAGCCTTGCTATGTGCAGAGCACAAAGAGATCAGAGCCAGCCTGTGTCACCTGCAGGAAGTTTTGTGGGAAGACAGGTATTTATTATAGTGGAATCTCTTCTCTTAGACCTTTCAGTGGCACATCTGCTACCTACCCCACCTCCCAAACAGACCTTCAGTAAGGCTTAAGTGAGGTGCAGGCTTTGTGCCTTTATTTTTTTCTGTCTGCTACCTTTGTTTCACACTTTCTTTGGAATTAGTGATGATTAAAGTCACTGCACAGTTGCAGATCTAAAGAATATTAAGGATATGCAGGAATGGGAAGGGAAAAAAGAAAACCAACAATTAAAAACACCAAAGCAAAGAACACCCTCAGTAACAGTTTGATCCAACACCCATTGGAAGTCAGCTGAGGTTGACTCTTCCACTGACTTCAGCGGGCATTAGATCACCCCAGCAGACTTGTCTAAAGCCTCATCACAGCCTTAGGATATCCTACTGGAACACAGACTAAGCTGAATTATTGGAGAAGTACTGTACATAATTTTAAAGGTCAAGAATTATAATAATTCACTGGAATACTGAATTTTTTAGTGTTTTCCTCATACTTAGAGCAGAAGAACAACTATATTGCAAGGCCAAATATTGGAACAGTAGCATTGATTATCTCAAGGCTTTAAGGACCAAATTCTGCCTTCAGATTCACATACACATCTTCCATCGTCTGCAATGGAAATAGATTATGTGTAGCTGACTTAAATTTGTTTTCCAGCACTTAAAACTATCCAACTTTTAAATTTTTTGTAGTAAATATGAAATTATCATTACACTCTCTATGTTCTTTCTGCAGATTTCAAATGATGGCTTAAGACATATTTGAAGTTATTTTTTTCTGTACAGTTTGTGGTAAGACTGTGGTTTTTCTGCACTATTGCATTCCTCATAATACTGAAAGAGTGGCTCTAAGTCAGTAGATTTTACATTAAGTATACACAGTGACAAAATACTAAAAACCCATGCTCAAACAGTTAAAATTATGTGTCTGACAGTGGTTTTGCCATTAAGAGTTTTGCATGTTGTTGAAAACAATACTTTTTAGTCTAAAGACTAGCAACATTTTGATCACAGAAAATCATCATCAAAAACAAAAGTTAAAAACAGTCTTCAGCTGACTTCAGGATTTTTTTTCCCATCTAGCATAAATGAGCCTCAGGAAACAAAAAAACCAGACAAAAAAATGTGTTAAATGGTTTCATGAACTTACATTGATGTATCTCTTATTTCTTGGTCTTGCTGATCAAGAATAAGCCAGCAGATAAGAAGCAGCAGCCAGTGGTAAGTTTGTCTCCTCCACTCTGGGAGGTCATGTTAAAATAAGTTGAAAAATGATTTAAAATAGAATTGCTATGTAAGCCTCCCTGGGGATTTAAACTCACTGATGTGTGCATGTTCAAAATGGTATTTCCAGTCTATCTTGTGTTGCCTGAGAACCGTTTTTGTCCTTTTAAAATCTGCATTTATATTATAATCCATAAGTACATTATGTTTTTGTATTAACACTATAAATACTATGTTAGTAATACTAAACTATTTCTATTGACTTATTTGTAAAAAGAAAAATATATTATATATTTATATATTTTTATAAAGTGAATTAACACTGGAGAAAGGGCTATGGGGGAATAGTGTACAATCACAGTTGATGTGTATTATTGGGCACAAATTCAACACTTGAAACAAAAAGGAAAAGAAAAAAGTGTTCATGTGATATCCCTCTTTCAAGCCGTGTCAGAGGAGGAGTCATAGGATGCTGACACTATGAAGTTGCCAGTATTGGAGTGGCTTGCCATGGACTGGGCAGCCTGCTGGCTCAAGTTATTGCAAATCAGCACCAGCTGGTTGCTCTGCGCTTCTGAGAGGGTGCTACAGCTCTGGTAGACGCTGAAGTTGGTCTTCCGTCCGGGGATGTTGCCTTTCTCGCACATCGTCTTTACCATCTTGGCAAGCTTGTTTTTCCCCAGGGCTTGGCAATTATACCAGTGAAGTGCGGCCAAGTTGACGACAGGTTTGATGGACAGGTAAAAAGGCGCATCCTCATAGCGCATGGCTGGAGGCCGCCTCTGGGCATACTCCTTATAGTCTTGCACAGGGCAGGTCTGTGGGGAGTGCTGGGTGGCGTACACCCGGGAGTCTGTTCCGCCTCTCTTGCTCTTGGCATTGACATCTCCGTTGTCTGGCCCCATCCACTCCAGGTACTCCAACCCAGTTTCTGTCACTCGCAGTCTGATGTCTCCCCACTTGAGGGTGGACCCATGGAAACCCGTGCAGTGTCCAAATGCCTTAGTGTTGTTTAGCCAGACAAGATTCAGAAGCCCTTCAGGATTGTATCGGCTCAACAAGCCTCTTTTGCGCAGGATAAGCTCATCAGCAAAGGTGAGCTTCATGGATTTGTGTGGCTTGTTTCCTTTTCCTTTACACCTCAGCTCTATCTGCTTTTGCTTTAATGCTTCCTGCGACCTCTTGAACTCCTTATCCCTCGTAATACTGTATCCATACCTGTGCTCTTTGAGATACCGCTCCAGCCCACACTGATAGTTGGCCAGACTGTTTGGCTCGTATTCAGACCCATCCTTCTGTCTGGCATCCACAAAGAAGGAAGCAAGGTAGGCATCAAGCTCTTTACAGGGGATGACGTAGATCTCCCGGGTCTCAGAGGGGTACTTGGAGATGAGAAACTCTCGGAAATTGCGGAGAGCTGTCTGTGTGCTGCGAATGGTCTTCTCATTCTGCTCCCTGCTGAGCTCCGCTGCTCTCTCATCCTGGTCTGAAAGAAGAAGAGGAAAGACAAAAGAAAGCAGAAGCAATTAGTTTGTGTAATGCGCTTTTCCCCAGAACAAACACCCTTTAAAAGGGAAAAAAAAAAAGCAAAAAAATTAAAATCAATTTCAGAAAGAGCACTGAAAAATATCATTACATACCTGTTACATGACTGAACAGCCAACTACAGTTTCACAAATGATGTACTAGAGTATGGCACAAAACCAAAGTGAGCTCCTCATGACACTAGGGCACAGTTTTGTACATGAAGATTTGTGTAAAACAGTGGGATTAGAGGCAATCTGCTTTTTAGAACAAATGCAAGGCAGAAGGATCTGTGGATCCCAATGCTGTGTGCAGGGCCCAATCGGAGTAATAAGCCCATTCTGAATTGCTTCATTTGTGAATCCAGACATTGTACTGGTTCCATTTTTTTTTTCTACAAAATATAGCTAAGGCATGATATTTATGACAGTAAAAATTATCTTTAATCAGACACATTTTAAAAAAGCTAAATATAGACAGAAATGTACAGTATGAAACAGTACAGAAATGTACAGGATGTGCATTAGCAGCACATCCTAACAAAGGAGTTGGCAGGTAAAACTACTACACAGCAATGTGTAATTTACAAATGTACAAGAATTTTAAAAAAGTAATTAATATGCTCACATCAGAAGATATGGAAGAGAAACATGATTATAGAGTCTTTCTACATAATCAAGCTGTACCTTGACAGTGGAAGTATAATTTTGACCTTTTAATTTTGCAGAAAAATAAATTCTGGAAATAAGTTTATATTGCTCTATAAGGCTATACTTAAAGGTCCTTACAATCAATGACATATCAAACCACAATATTCAGATGCTACCACTATGAAGGTTGTTACTGACAGCTGATTTTTGAGCTAATCATAAGCTAAACATAAAAAAGAAAAGCTTTTAACATGTAAGTGATGTGTGTACTTAAGGACAGTTTTCTTGCAAAAATTTGTCTGTACAAGGATGCAGACTACAAGCACATAGGTGGAACTGGCCTTATGAATGTGATTAACCTTAAAGGTTTTAAAAGATGAACAGCAAACACAGAGAAGGAAAAATGCAATTATTTGACTATTTTCTGCAATTGTGAGTGAAACATTCTTTTTTTCTCTGTTCCACTAAATAAGCAGAAGAGGAGAAAAAAGCAAGTTCTTTTTTGATCTATCTCATTGCAAAAACCATGCGTTTTGGTGTCCTTTCATCAGTGCCATCGTAACACTCGCCAACTGTTTCCCACCCAACATACACACTACAAAGTGGTATACAATCAGGTGAAGATCCTACTGCCTCTCTGTCACTCAGGCCAGGTCACATAGCACACCCATGGTTTGCAGCAGTGCTCAGATGCTTGTTCCTTATGCTCACTCTGCCCTGCAAGACTGTTAATGGAGAAGGGAGCAGGGAAAGAAAGGTGGACCTACCTCTTTTCCTAGTCTATCTGCAAGGTTTCATGTGGTGCAGAAACATCATACGCACAACTGGGCAGCTTCCCCTTCCACCCATCTACAGAGTGACTCTGAGGAGTCTTCATTCCATCACCTCCATACCACAGCTGCATATAGAGGCACAGGGAGTGACTTGCCAGCAGGCCAGAAACAGGGCTGAGTTTATATCCCTGGGGACCAGATCCTGTGTCTTCACTGCAAGGCATCCACTGCATCCATTGTACTCAGTGAAACCTATTGAGAGGGGTCCTCAAGCCCTCTGTAAAACACAAAGAATCAGAGAGTCTGCAGCTGAGGTCTCTGGAGGCTTCTGCAGCCATAGAGCACTGAGGTTTGCTTGAACTGTGCTCAAGGAGAAAAAGAAAAGGTCACCAGCCTGTTTCAGAAACTGGTTTTAATATTGATGTCAGTATCAAAGAGCTCCTAGCAGCCTGCAGTGAAGTCTCCTCCTTTAGGCAATGTATAGGATAAATCCTTTTATTATGGCTAGATGCAGACTGGAAATAAAGAGACAATGATTGAAGCTCTGAAACAAACATTTACTCCAGTATCTTGTTCACTGCACCCACCACCACTTATTGTAGAACTGTGTAAGTAATCAGTGCTTTGACTGACAGCCCACATTTTAAGTACTGTTTCACTATAAACAGCACATATAACAGCTCAGTTTTACACATGTCATCAATCACTACTTCTTAGAGGATAGCCTGTCACAACACAGCAGTGACACTCAGTCAGTCATTTATGTTATGGCATCTTTCCTTAATATGCAAAGGGAATTGACACATCTGCAGCTAACAGTTATAAAACCCATGCTGAATTAAAGATGCCCTGAAGTTGCATAAAGCAAAACAGTACCCCAGAAACACTGCATTCCTGCAGTGTTGTGGTGTGTTACTCCACAAGGCAGGTAGAAAATGTTAAAGATAATGGGTCAGCTTCTCATCCAGCCATATCAGGAGAGCTGTATCAATTTTGACTGTAAATCCAGCCTGCAGTAGTAGTGGATTATTCTCTTTCTTATGAGACCATTCAAAATCAGGCATATCTCATAGCATAGGATGACTGCAGGGAAGCAGTGAGACCCAATGGACAGAGTCTGAGACAGCCAAAGACATCAGATGTCAGCTGAGCCACTGTTATCATTTGCATATGCTTTTCATCCACAGCAAAAGCAGATGATGTGGTTGAGCCTAACTTAACTAAGACAGCTCTTTATAGCCTAGGACAGCTGAGGAAGAAGACATAATTCTTCATGTCATTAAAGTCCTACTTCTTCATTTCAGTAAGATTTCATAGTGCTGAAAGAAACTACATAATCCATCTCCCACTACCATGGAAACAGAAATTGTATCCAGGCATGCTTTTAATACTGCTAAATTTTGTGTTTCTTGCTAATTTCATAATCTTATTCTCTATTATGGTGGTGGTTGACCCTGGGCAGCACCTAAGCACCTCACAGACACTTGCTCACTCCTCATCCCAGAGGGACAGGGACAAGAATAGGAAGAGCAAAAGTAAGAAACCTGTGAGTCAAGCCAAAGACAGTTTAATAACTGAAGGGGAAAAAGAAACCCAACTGGCAATGAGGCAATGGCAATCACTCACCACCTCCCACAAGGAGACCAATGCCCACTTCCCCAAAAAACCACCTCATTTCAGTTTTTGTTGCTGAGCATGATGTCATAGGGCAGTGAATATGTTGGTTAGTGTGGGCTGGCTGTCCCTGTTGTGTCCTCTCACAGGCTCTTGCCTACCCGAGACCTCGCTGCTATGAGGACAGAGTGGGAAAAAGAGAAAACCTTGACACTGTGCAAGTCTGCCTCATCAACAGCCAAAACATTGTTCTGTTATTAACACTGTTTGAGTTACAAATCTGAAACACAGCAGGGAATCAAGAAAGTTAACTTCATCCCAGCCAGACCCCAGTACAATTATGCCATCTGAATCACCAATTAAACAGTGCCCAAGACCAAGTGCACCTTGCATCCTTTCCCTACAGGACAAGAAGAACACAAAAACTATTCCCTGGGTGCAGTCCGCAAATGGCCCTTGTGAAACACTTACAACAGACCCATCTACTCTACATGTCTCTACTTCACCTAAAGGAAATAAGCAGAAACAGAACCAAAGACCTTATCCCAGTCTGGACATTTGGCATTGATTGCTTCTGCTTTAGCCACATGGCCTTGCAACCTTGCCAGAGAAGATTAAGATGGTGTAATGTCATTTTGTTACTTACAAATCCATCCAGACTAACACAGAAAGAAAGGCTACATAAAAGTACTTCAATCACTAAGAACTCGAGACTAAAATGCGCCTCAAGTGCCATCCCAGTGAAAATTACTGAAAACACAGGTGGGGATTGTGTTGAATTTGTGTGGCGGGGTTTTTGGTAGCGGGGAGGGGGCTACAGAAGTGGCTCCTGTGAGAAGCTTCTTGAAGCTACCCTGGCTCCAAGTCAGACCTGCCTCTGGCCAAGGTTGAAACGATTAGTGACAGTGGCTGTGCCTCTGTGTTAACGTATTTAAGAAAGGGAAGCTGAGAGGGAGTTGGGACTTTGAGGAGGAGTTAAGAGACAGACACCTGTGCAAACACTGAGGTCAGTGGAAAGAAGGTGAAGGAAGAGGGGGACGTGTGCTGAAGCTGGGACCCCGCCCCCTGTATCCCATGGTGAGAGGGCAGGGCCGCCCCCCTGCACCCATGGAGGTTACCAGAGGAGCAGAGATTCGCCTGCAGCCTGTGAGGGCCCCATGCCTGAGCAGGCAGATGCTCTTAAAGGAAGCTGGGACACTGTAGGAAGAATTTTTCTCCATCCCAGCACTGGGGAGCAAGGGGTGAGTGAATAGCTGTGTGTCACTCAGTTGCCCTCTGAGCTCAAACCACAACAGGATCTACATTAGTTTCATGACTACTGCAAACATAATTATATTTGCTCTTGGGCCACCACTGCTCACTGTATCATCAACTCTGCAGTGTGCATGGGTTCCAAAACTAGGTAAAAGCATGAAAAGAAATCACAAAGCACTCCTCAATACAAGAGAACACCTCTGTATCAGAAAGGCTGGGAGCTGCAAATTGCTGGAGGATAGGAGTGGGGAGTTATTAGAGATATTCACACCTTTCTTATAGTCTTCTGTAGTTGTCTGTTGTTAGGCTCTGTTAGGAAGACAGATACTCTCATGTTATGCTCTAATTTGTTTCAGCCAGTAAAATGGTGTGAACTAGCCAACCAAAAATTGTAATCATTGATCTATCACATGAAGCTATCCTTAATGCTTTTTCCTTGTCATAACACAACCTTTGGAATTCATACTGCTTTTATTCCTGTCTTACAGACTAGGAACAGAAACATAAAAAATAAATTGCATTGGAGATGCATTTCCTGAGGTCCTGCCCTGTCATCTGCATCACAGAACAAATGAGCTCTGGTGTTTCCTATCTGATCCAACTTTGGAGTTTCTTTTCCAAGAAAACCAGAACATGGCAGAAAAAGCCAGTAAAACTACCCTACTGTGGAA